TCAGCAGTTTGTCGATATATGATATTTTTGAGCACGATTTCTAAAAGCTCCTATATCGTCAGACAGCGTAAATAATGATTAAGCGAGAATACAATCAACCACATTAATATCAAAATAATTTCTATACAAAACTTATGCATTCTATTTAACAAAATTTTGCTTCTATTTTATACGTAATGCATAAAAATAGTGTCAATCTTTGAAAAAATATTGTCAATCAATGAACAATATTATTTCAAATTATTTCAAAATTATTTTAAAATATTATTTCAAAAAAATTATGTTAAGAGATCCATCAATAGGACTCTTATTCACAACTCAATTTTTTGTACAAGAATTGCATTTGAGATGTAATTGCATACTGTTTTTTAAATACAATTATACATTTTCATGTCAATTATAAAATTATATTAATATCGATTAATTCAACTTTTTTTTTAAATACTTGTTGTATAATAATATAATCATTTTAAAAAGTGAGTACTTTAAAAATATTTTGTTATAATATTATATGTCAAAACAAATTATATAAAATATTTTATAAACACTTTATTGATTTTTATATGATTCTACTTTAATAGTTTTATGTAAAACATATGAAAAAATATATGATATTATTTAAAAATATTCACAATATATCTTCCTCAAAATCAAGTAATAAAATAAATAAATTTTTTGCTGAAGTATGTTTCTATAAAATGCTTACAATTAGAATTTATAAGGGATGGTAAGCTATGTACAATAACTCACTCTCTATATGTATAAATTTAATATTATATTATAAAATTCAATGTTGTATATAAATAAATTAATTTAATTATTTGCTACTGTATATAAATAGCAATTTTAAATTGTACATATATATATATATATATATGTATGTATGTATGTATGTATGTATGTATGTATGTATGTATGTATATATATGAGCATAGTTGTTACTCAATCAACATTAATTTTCGATTGAAACTATTTTACTTCAACTTTATAAAAGATGCCCGAATACCCGAATACTCAAAATATCCGAAAAAGTTATTATTAATTATGATCCTGTGCACTATAACAATAGCCTGATCTTTTCTATATTTTTAGTATTTATTTTTGCGTGCTCGATCTGTTTTTACTGAAAAAAATTCGAAAAATGAGGAAATTTTACTTCGATTTTAGTTGAAGTTTATAAGTGGCTCAAACTGAAATTAATATGACAGCACATAATAGTTTCTATAATAGCTCGATATCGTTGAAAATATGATCTTTATTATTTATTTTAATTTAACCTTAAAGCTAAAAGACTGACATCTCGCATTGAATAATGAGACCATTTAGCATTCTGAGAGTTATAAAATTTTAGCACATTTTTTAAGAATGCAATCGCTTGTGAGAAATTTGTATTACTGGAATATTAAAATTATTTCTATCAAAACGCAATTAATATAATAATAATATGCATAATACACACACAATTTCCGATATAATTTTATTTATATAGAAAAGTAAAATACAATTTATCCGTATAAAAAGGAAAGTAGAAATGAGAGAATTCTCATAGACGAGATGTATCAGCGGACGTTTTCAAGAACAATATGGTTCATGAAGTCGGCACAACTCCTCTTGGAATTATTATATAAAGCTAATATAAACGTTGATATTAACTTATGTTTCTCTTGATTATATTTTGATAATACGTAACATATCTACACACATTAAATATACGCTATCAATGTATCTCTGTCCCGGTCGTTCCAATAATTAAACTTCAGATCCAATAGGCTACTTAAACTGGGTTATTGAATTTGCTCCAGTTTTTGATGCATCAAACAGACTATATTCGCACAAGCTTATTTTCACTACACCATGCATGCTTTATTCAAACATTTTGGAACAAGAACAGAGGGCCAACAAAGATCTCACCGAGCGTAAAACCTAAAAAGTGATTCCGTGGGATATGTTCTTTTGACAGTAAATCACCGGCAAGGCGCCAAAAACATCGACAACGATCGTAAAAGTGTGCGGAAATTCGAGCATGTGGTTCAAAAATACATTCCTGAGCGTAAAATATATATACGCGATATCTGTAATAAATCGAACTAAAGCGAACTAGGATAGATGCACCAATTAAAGAATATTATTAATTAATAACTCACAACAAAAAATAATTATATTGTCGAAATAAGAGGACTGTATATTATCTCTTTTAACAGATATTTTTAAGTGTTTTTAGAATATCCTTTATAAAATTAAAAATATATTATTTGTTAATAATAAATGGTCGTATTTTTATGTGGACTATTATATTTCATGATATAGATTGTATTATTGTAGCAATATATATAGTGTTGCAATTTACAACGTAGTGTAGTGTTTGTCGCTAAATAATTTAAATTTTTTAGAAGAATAGATAAAAAGTTTTTAAATGGTTCAAAAACGAAGATTTATATTCACGAATAACGTGTAATTTCATAAAATGATCTCATATCTTTAATTTCATTCAAAATCTAGAATCTCAATATTCTTCAAGTAAAAATTTGGTGCCTTGTGCACAGGTCTATATTTTCTTCATGATCTTTCTTTGTCTGTCTGCCTAGTTAAACTAATGTACTTTTTGTTAATGTAAAAATAAATCCTATTTTGCCTACATTTTTATAAATTGGAATATCTAATCTACTAATCTTTAAGGTGATTCCCCTTTTAAGATAAAAGAATTTTTTGGCGCCTATTTTAAAACAGAGTATTTTAAAAAAGTGAGAAATTCTTAAAATAAAAATACAATTTTTTTCAACGCAACTTTCAAGTTAATTGTGTTAAGATAATAGTCAGATATTAATTGAAAGATATTAAATGTTATGAATTGTGCTTGAAAAATATATGATTAAGATTAAAATAAATTATTATGAAAAAGAAGAAAAACAATGAAAAAATCACTACAAGCAAATAATTATTAACTATAATAAATATTGAAATTAATTTGTAATATAGCTGTATTTTCAATATTAATTATTATATTTATTTATATTTATTTGTATCAAACGCAAAGTCTAGTGATCACCAATTAAAATTATTTTAGCTCTGTTGTACATATTTACACAAATTAAAAAATAAAAAATTTAATATTATTTTATTTTTAAAATTACTATTATTTTTCTCTCTAATATATTATAAATTGATATAAGAATCTTGTTTTTTAATTTATAATAAGCTGTAAGAAATACATGCTTAATTTTTTGCACAATTTATTAAAAAACAAACTTATTTCTTGTTAGATCTTAAAGATATATATAATTACTTTTTCCCTTATCTTCCTCTCGTTTATAAACCGTATGATGGATGTGGCATAAATCGCAAATGGAGGCAGCCGGAATAATAAAAATTATCGAATAGCCATCGCGCGAGGCAGTTGATAGAGAAAATTGGGAGGATAGCGCGGGCGAACGCGCTGCGTCTCTGACATTAATTAATCATCCGCGGAGAGTGGTGGAGTTACTCGAGTCTGATGAATTATCGCCACCTGAGGAACCAGCTACGGCGATATATATACGACCCGCCATATCTACCTACGATAATTCTCTTACGCAGGGAGCGGCCCGGGTTCGCTAACGATATTCGTTATTAATGCGCGCGAAGTGCGAGCGTTTAATTTGCGCGCGTTATCAAAGCGCAGCGACATCTACACTCGATTTTTTTCAAAGCGCAAGATTGCACGCTGGCATTTCTTTGCCGGGGTGAGATACGGTTGATTAGTTCGTCTGATAACGAAAAAAGGAAACGTCGAGTCTCAGAGAGCTACTGAACACGAAATGTTCTCTTGCACGAGAAGTACGGATGACATCTGATATGAGAAGGTTATTAAGAGACTTGCGCTTACTTAGAGCTTTGTGAATTCACGTCTCCGCGTATAATGTGATTTAATTCCGAGTTTTATTAAAATAATACTGAGATTACATCCTAGTCATATGCAACACTAAATTAGGAAATAAAATAATCTTTAGCTCTCTCTCTCTCTCTTTCTCTCTCTCTCTCTCTCTCTCTCTCTCTCTCTCTCTCTCTCTCTCTCTCTCTCTCTCTCTCTCTCTCTCGCTTGCGCGCGCTTTTTCTAATCTAATTTTAGAACTTGTGAAGATGGAACAAAGGTATAACTTATACATGTAACTTAAATTACACGTCATTTTTACATATTAGTTTAATAAAAAATTATGAAATGTATATCGCGTTAATTTTACGAGACTCTTTAATTTATTTAGGAAAGTAATGCAAATAAACGACGTTAAAAGATAAGATTTTTGAGTAAATTCCACGTAATAAACATAAAGGTATGTATGTGAGCTAATAAAATTTTACCTACATGTTTGGAAAATATAGCAATTCCGCTAAAAAAGATATACGGTATTAAGTAGAATAATAGAGTTGAAACATGTAATAAGCACGATACAAAATGTATCAACATTACAGAATTAGAAGTATAGACATATCAATATGTCATAACACTTGTTATCATAATTATAGTATCGCTCATTATCTTACTTTAGAGAAGTACTTTAGAGAAAATAGAAGGAATGCTAATCAAATAATACCTACTCTTAAATGAAATATGCAGAAAATGTTATAATAAATTGACGTTTTAAACGATAATATATTGAAAGCGTGATAGAAGAGTTTCTCTTGCCAAAATTTATTATATTAACATCATACAAATATAATGTATTGTTCCATAAAAAATGCTTATAAATCAATAATTCTAGTTCATAATAAAAAATTAACTCGTGAAGAGAAGAGAAAATTGTAATTTTCAAATAATAAAAAAGTAATTGTTTTTCATATATTTCAAACTACACATATATTGCTTATAATTATCTACAGAAAAATATAATTAATAAAATAAAAACAGAATCAAAATAAGAATTTTCTGCATTCCTTCAAACATTCATTTCCATCGTTTACTTCAAAAACAGCACATTGATGAGAAAGAATGCAACATGCATGCACGCGAGCAATCTCTCACGTACATTGTTGCCTTCGAAGATCCCGGCCAGCATGATAATCGTCGCCAGCTGAAGAGTGTCACGTGACCAGACTCGAGTAAATACGACTGTCCGCGTTCGCGTTATCCGGAGGTAAGAGCCTTGTTCCCTCGAACTTTTCACTCGGTCCGCGAGTTTCACAAAGACCGTCGAAAAAAATGCCGCGAGAAAACTGAGAGAGAGGAAAGGTCAACCTTCGGAGGGCAAAAAAAGAGGGCTGAAACACCGAGGGGTTGAAATCCGTGCGTGAGCTTCACTTTTGGAGAACACGCTGGAGCACGAATTCGCGAGCAGGTTGACACCTTCAGGGAGGAGATCGCGCGCAGAACTGACACCTCACGCGCGCGGTCCAGCTACCCTCAGCATCCACCGGCGGCGGCCGAGGGGATGAAGCCGAGCACGCGCGAAATTCCGCCCTTCCCCTGCCTGCCTCCCCGAACGAGCTGCAGCCACCCCCGACCACCCCCCATTCACCGTCCTCCCCTCCCTCCTTCTCCCTCTTCTCGTACCCATAACTATCCTCTTCTCGGTCAACCTCTGCCGCCAGCGCATCACGCTCCCTGTTTCATGCCGAATTCACGCCATCATCCACGGAATCTCACTTATTCGTCTTGATAATATAGGAGCGTTCAGGTGGATACAGCATCCGTTGTTTGATAGACGTATAAACACGTCATTCCATTAATTGTGCCGAACGAGGAGAATATTAAATCCTGGAAGAATGTTAATTACGTCTTAAAAGTGTATTTAATTTTTTATTCTATAATAAATCTTTTTTGTATTATAATTGTAGTATGAGAAAATTATAAATTTATTAAATTTCTTTTACGTATTCATGTAACCGTAATAAATATTTATTTTTTATTACTTATTCGTCTTGATAATATAGGAGCGTTCAGGTGGATACAGCATCCGTTGTTTGATAGACGTATAAACACGTCATTTCATTAATTGTGGTGAACGAGGAGATTATTAAATCCTGAAAGAATGTCAATTTTGTCTTAAAAGTGTATTTAATTTTTTATACTATAATAAATCTTTTTTTGTATTATAATTGTAGTATAAGAAAATTATAAATTTATTAAATTTTTTTACGTAATCATGTAAGCGTAATAAATATTTATTTTTTATTACTTATTTGTCTTGATAATATAGGAGCGTTCAGGTGGATACAGCATCCGTTGTTTGATAGACGTATAAACACGTCATTCCATTAATTGTGGTGAACGAGGAGAATATTGAATCCTGGAAGAATGTTAATTACGTCTTAAAAGTGTATTTAATTTTTTATACTATAATAAATCTTTTTTGTATTATAATTGTAGTATAAGAAAATTATAAATTTATTAAATTTCTTTTACGTATTTATGTAAACGTAATAAATATTTATTTTTGATATTTATTTTTTATTACTTATTCGTCTTGATAATATAGGAGTGTTCAGGTGAATACATGCAGCATCCATTGTTTGATAGACGTATAAACACCTTTGACACATTCGACCATTATGTTACCTAATTATGTTGCATTTTGAATAATTTCCGAGTTTTTAAGCTTCTTCTATATCGCCCTATTATAGTCGTCTACCTTTTCATGACTCTATTTCGCCTTAATTAGCAAACTTACCGTAGATCCTGAAAGAGTTTGAGAAGACCAAATTAGAGAGAAGAGACCTTACAATTATTATATTTTCCCCTGCTACGTGATTATTTGCAAAGCTCAACGGTTCTTTGTAAAGATTGTAACATAATTAGCGCAAATAATATATGCAACATCAAATAATAACACTGAATGCAAGTAAAAGTGCCAAAGATCTCACTTAATATAAATAATGATAATTATTAAAGATTTAGATTTTTGTGCATTTTATGAAAAAAATATTTGAAATTTTCAAATTTCGCAATTTTTTGCACCGTACAATGAATTGGAATTATTTTCTTTTTCTCGTACATCGCCAACTATTATTTGCCGGAGTACTCGGGCATTTATTATGACCTTTTCATAATTGTCTAAAGCGAACACGCTGACCATCCAAGCGAGCAAATGCTGCGCCAAGTAATTACACCGCACAATTGCACGAATATTGCAGAATCGGTAGAAAAAAAATTCCGCCGAGTTTTTCATAGAGTAAAAATTTAATTTCCACCGAAAGAGAGAAGATATTTGACGCGCGTGTCTTACCGGGTTCTAACCGTAAATTGAGAAGGATGAGAGAATTTTTCGCTCAATTATAACAACTGCAAAATATATATATATATATATATATATATATATATATATATATACATATTGCAACGTTACGATTTTACAATTGTAATAATTGAGCGAAAAATTCTCTCATCCTTCTCAATTTACGGTTATATATATATATATATATATTATATATATCCTTCAAAATTTTATTTTCCTGGAATAGTGTTATTCAATGCTGCATATGTGTTGATAAAAAAAGTACATGAAGAGATTTTTCTCTTAGAATTTACTCTGAAAATCATGATAATGGAGCAATATGATATTAGAAGAATTTTATAAAAGTTCGTTTAATTAATATTTATCACAATAAAAAATATTAATATGTACATAGTAAATTTTACTATGTAAAATTAATCAAACATATTTTCTATCTTATTGTGTAGACATTAATATTTTTTATTGTGGCAAATAAACTCTTCTAAAATTGTTCCAATATTACATTGTCTCACGATTAGCATAATTTTCAGAATAAAAATTCCGAAAGAAAATTATCTTTGTGTATAAATTTGCTATAAAAAAAGTATGATTCGTTGATGAAATTTTGATTCGCAAAATTTGATTTCCCGCGACCTTAAATATTTTGCGATTATTCCCGAGATGCTGTACAGGGTCGAGAAATTTCACCCCTGCGAATCCTCTCCTCCGTCCGCCCTCTCAGCAAGGATAGCCTCTTTACGGCCCTATTTCGTCCGAACGAGCGCCTCGCACCTACAAAGGGGCATCGAGGGTTGAAACTCTCCCTAATAATTATCAGGCAATGGAGGCCATATTGCGCGAGCCGATGACCCAACGGTATGGAATATTCAAGCGACTCTCGCGCAAGCCAGACCACCCTTAAAACCTAATTAAAATATGCAACGTGTGGAAGGTATGGCATCAGTACACTACATCGAGGTGTAAAACGGAGCGCGATCGAGGGTGGAATTTTTAATTTTCGACACAAACTCGTATGTAATTTTTTTATTTCCCCAAAGTTGAAAGCATATATATCTAATATAGAATTCTTTTTTTAATTTTTAATTAAAGAAAAAAGAACGCAATTTTTTCGGATGCTCCTGCAGACTCGCAAAGGTCGAAGGCTGTTTCCAGGACATCCTCCTGGCTGGGAAATCCGGTCGAGCGATTTCATTTTCGTCATTTCGTATATCAGATGGCTCGGTCGCATGCGCACGAACGTAGGTGTGTCGCCCTGTAATTAACCGGGCACTGCCGACCTACAATAATTACCCGGTAACGCCGCTGGGGTTGGAGGAATGGAGGACGCGTCGCGTTGCGTTGCGCGACTGATAACCTCCCCCAGGTCCGGAGATTATTTAAACGCGCAATCGCGACTGATGTCAATTTCGATTATGCTTCCGTAAAACGACAAAGCCGACCGCGCGCTTTATTCCGATCGCGATTTAACGAGCTCGCGAAACTCTTTTGTCATCTGTATGTATCCGCTCGTCAGCGTTCCCACGTTCGACTCGATGGTGAAAATATTTCATGTACAGGGTGACTCTAAATAAGTGCGAAAACTTTTGGAGGGTTATTTTTTTCTTGAAAATTAAATAGAAGTCTTTCATATAAATACATATCTACTCTTATATTTTTTCCTACACTTATTTAGAGAAGGAATGGGTTTTTATTTATTTTTGCTTTTTTATCTCTTATTTATGCCAACATTTATTATAATTTTGCTTACTTTTTTTTATTCTAAAATTTAATACGTTTTGCAACTCAAACCTGACGTCATTTAGCACCATATTATGTGCATAGTTATATGTATTTTATTTTTTATTTTTATTTATTTATTATTTTTAAACTTTAATTTTACAAAAAATTTAATAAAAAAGGAATCAAGGTTTCTAACGCATATTTTTAAATAATCACATTCCGGCCTGTTAAAAATTCTAATAAAAACTTGAATAAGAGTTGCTAGTTTCATCTCCTTTTAACGAAACGGAAAGATTAAAAAATATTTATAAATACTATTTTTACTAGTAGAAACTGCCCACATAACCTTGGATATGCTATGTATATGCATTTTTTCTCCATAATATGAAAAAAATATTTTGTATGTACTATGTATATACATCTCATATACATAATTTGGATATACATTAACGTACATGCCATGTATATACATATATGTACATAATTGTGGCAATACATTAAAGTACATGCCATGTACATACTGTGTATATACATAATTTGGATATACATTAACGTACATGCCATGTATATACATATATGTACATAATTGTGGCAATACATTAAAGTACATGCCATGTACATACTGTGTATATACATAATTTGGATATACATTAACGTACATGCCATGTATATACATATATGTACATAATTGTGGCAATACATTAAAGTACATGCCATGTATATACTGTGTATATACATAATTTGGATATACATTAACGTACATGCCATGTATATACATATATGTACATAATTGTGGCAATACATTAAAGTACATGCAATGTATATACTGTGTATATACATCATTTGGATATACATTAACGTACATGCCATGTATATACATATATGTACATAATTGTGGCAATACATTAAAGTACATGCCATGTATATACTGTGTATATACATAATTTGGATATACATTAACGTACATACCACGTATATACATATGTGCATATAATTGTGGCAATACATTAAAGTACATGCCATGTATATACTGTGTATATACATAATTTGGATATACATTAACGTACATGCCATGTATATACATATATGTACATAATTGTGGCAATACATTAAAGTACATGCCATGTATATACTGTGTATATACATCATTTGGATATACATTAACGTACATACCACGTATATACATATATGTACATAATTGTGGCAATACATTAAAGTACATGCCATGTATATACTGTATATACATCATTTGGATATACATTGACGTACATACCACGTATATACATATGTGCACATAATTGTGACGATACATTAAAGTACATGCCATGTATATACATATAATGTACATAAGATGTATACAAAATGTACATATGATATTTACATACATAAAATGTGCAGGCTGCACAAATAATTCTCATTGTATTTGCCGTTTTAGAAGTTTATGCGGTGGTTCTAAAATCGTCTTATGTAAAAGGTATCGATCATGTAACTTTTTTGTTAGAGTGAAAACGTGAAAAGTGAAAATTTATCACCCAGACAGCACATGATATTATACGAATATTCTATATTCATACTATGAATGTACGTACAGTATATAATATACTGAGAATATTTCTATAATATCTCTTGTAGTATATCATTTTCCGTATATTTTCAGAATGTTTTCAGAATATCTTTTGTAGTATATTATTTTTCAGTATATTCTCAGAATATACTTTTACGTATATTCTCAAAATATACTTTTATATATATTCTTAGAATATACTGTAAACATCTTTTATAGTATATTATTTTCGTATATATATCGTATATTTTCAGAATATACTTTTACGTATATTCTCAAAATATACTTTTATACATATTCTTGGAATATACTGTTGACATCTTTTACAATATATTATTTCTCGTATTTTCTTGTATATGTCAAGAAAATACTTTAGAATACGCGAATTTATTTATTGGCGGATATGTGTATGCAACGCCATGTTCGATACGTAATTGCCGGTATTGCCAGTATCGCCGGTTTCTTCCTCTTCTTTTGTGCTCGTGACGAGTGAGCAACACGTGTGTGGTTCTTCATCCAAATTTGGATCGATATTAATCGCAGGTAAATCGCTTTTTATTTCATTTAAAATGCATGAAATTTTCAAACTCTATAAAAGATATTTTCAAAATATATTTATCATTTTTTGTTAATATACTTGATTACAATAAAATATTATTACAAATTAACCTCAAAATCGCATATTTTTGGAACTTGTCTATTTTATGGCGTGAATTTATAAAAAATATTTATTATTAAATATTTATTCTTAAAAACATATTTGAATGTACATAATATAAAATAATTAGTTTAGTTATAAAATATCCAAGATGACCTGGTACGTGGTAAAATTTGATGATGAGGACACAGTTGAAGCTGTACCTGACATATGGTACATGAAAAAAAATTCACAATGCTATTGGCCTCCTGGAGGCACTACAAAACATATTATAGTAGACTTTATAAAAAAAAAGCAATCTCCTGGAGCCGACTGGGCACTCTATGAAGCAAACCTTTTAGGCAGCTATGGTAAAATATATTTTGATACATTCTCACAGAATACTTTATATAATAAAATACTCCTAAAATATTTATACGTAAAATGTTAATACATTTAGTATAATACACTAAATTTATTAACATTTTACGAAATTTTTCGATTTTTTATTGTTTTTAATTTTGTTTTTTTATAGACAATTATAAAATAGCACAAAAAAAAGCCAATAAAGCTAAAAACACAAATAATCTCTCCTCTAATAACGAAGAATTGAAAAGGAAATATAGACGTAGGAGCACGAAAAAAAGCCATCATAAAGAATCTGAAAATGAATATGAATTATCCTCTGAAACCGAAGTATCCTCGGATGATGTTATATATCCTGTTCCAACTCCAATAGAAAAAACTCAATTAAGTGGTAAGTAATATAAGCAACAATCATACGATATTATACATATATTTGTAAGACAAGAATTCTATTTTAATATTTTATTAATAATTTTTTGTATAATAAAAATAAAAAAACTCAAAAATTAAATAATGAAAAATACAAAAATAGTGCAAGAGCTTCAGCAAGGTGTTCGTGCAAAATTGTATTATACTTTCTTACTTTGTTACTTTAAGAATTACACAATCTACAAATTGATGATATCAGTAAAACTATGAATCTTTTATTAAGAAGTAAAAGTAATGAGTGGCAGAACTTATCATTGCATGAAGATGTTTTAGATATCACATTTCCAGTAAATAAAAATTCTTTAACTCTAGAAGACTTGATAGATTCTGAACATAAGTAATGATTGGTAAAGTATATTTGATTATAAATTTATTATAAAAACGTTTTAATTTGAATTATTTAAATTATATAAAACTTTTTGGTAAACGTTTCTGTCCGATATCAGACCTTCAGTGACATAAAAATTATAATAAATTCTACGCCGTAATTATAAACATAATTGTCGCCATAATGTATGTCAAATTAAATGTTTTTGTCAAAACGATAGACTCAATCGATATTATTTATATAATTACGGCAGAATTTTGTTATAATTAGTATGTTGCTGAAGAAGGTCTACTATCAAACAGAAACGCGTTTAATCAAGTAATGAAGTAACATTTTGCGCGAACACTTTGCTGTGGCTCTTGTTCTATTTTTATATTTGTAATTATTTTTTATATCAATGCTTTTTAATATTCTGTTTGTGCATATAGTACAGGAAAAAAATATTTAATCTATTAATCAAAAATAATGAAATAAAGATGTACAAAGATGATTTCTTTAAAAATATACAATATTTTTTCATACATTTTATTAGTATACTTTGTTTTTCTGTCTCAAAAGTTAAAAAGTCTTAAAGACATATCCAATGATATGTAAAAAGAGTAACGTTCAATCATTATTTTTTGAAGGGATTAATGTCACTGATAAAAATGATCAGTTGAAAGCTTCTACCTCTGTTACTACGTCTAATAAGTCTGAAAATCTATTTGCAACATCACAGCAGCCTACTTCGACTCTTCAACAGAATAATGGTAAGATTAAATTTGTACATGTAATAATGAAAATAAGATTAATTTTTTTTGTAGTACCACTAATTTTCTTTTGATAAATTTGATATTCCATATTTTAAGCAAGTTTTTCTCTTTTTTTATATATTAAATATTAAGTAAAGATGATAAATATGGTTTAAAAATGATCTTGTTGTATCGATATCCTATTAAGGCTTTTGAGTACTCTCTGTGACCATGTTGAATCGTAACGTCAGAAGCAAGAAGTGTCACGTTGAGAATTCATAGATGTCATTTTTAGATAAATAAATATTTCGATACAATACCACTTCAGATGGCTTTAAGGTACTTTTAAAATACCTCGAAAACTATGCTTTTCTCTTGATAGTCAATCAACAACTGTAAAATGATCGTAATATCAGACTTTGTAATATGGAATAGCTGTGCATGTGCAAGACTGAACTGACTAGGACTTTATATCAGCTATTTTTTACAGCTGTTTACTGATTATAAAGGGAAAAAGATAATTTTCGAGGTATCTTAAGAGTATGCGAAAGTCAGGTGTGAAATGTTGTTTTATAAAATATATCTTTTCATTTAAAAATGGCATCTAAGAAGTTTTGTTTTCTCGCCTCTGACGTCACAATTCCGACATGGCCGGAGATGTACAATTATTTATCAGTGGTCTGTCAAAATGTTCCATTAATAGTTTACCAAAACAATCATTTTCTGCAATATTTGTATATTGAGTATTTTGTAATATGCGTTATTTTTTCTATACTATGCTTAAATAAATTATATTATTTTTGAAGGAAGTGTTGCTATATAATTTATAATCGATGTTTTTATTTCAGAATATCAAAAACGAGTTCTAAGAGAATTACACATTCTTAGTTTAAAAATGGACGATATTGTTGAAAATATGAGTCTTTTATTCAAAAGTAAAAGAAATGAATCGCAAGACTTAACTTCGCATGAGGAAATTCTAGATATCACACGATCATTTCCGGTAAATGAAAATTCTTTAGCTCTGTTAGAAAACTGGTTGATAGACTCTGAACATAAGAAACTATTGGTAAGAATTTTTAAGTACGATATATTTGATTATAAAAATGTTTCAATTTAAACAATTAAACTAATATAAAAAATTATTCAATATTTAAGTCTTTATTTTACAATTTTTCAATTAAAGAAATTAAATAATCTTTTTATAATGGCAGTCGCAGCATTTAAGTCGTATTGGAGGTAGTAACGTTAAAGAGATTGTACGGCGCATTATGTATCATGTATTTACTAACGAAGTTGGTATGATTTACTCTTGGGAAGGAGCAAAGAAAAAGAAAATCTTCAAGGATTTAGCTGTAGCATCTACTATTTTCTGTAAATTAAAAACCATTAAGTTATAATAATACAATTATAATAATAATCATACAATTAAAATTTTGCAAAACTTTTTACTTTAATATAATTTGTGATAATCTTTTGCAGCTGCCGTACGACTCAATAAGAATACTAATGATTGCACAAATGCAGAAATTATAAGTTTTATAAAAGCATGGCTTGTAAGAAGCAAAGATCGGTTTAATAATAATAACAAAAATAAACCTGCAACTACTCAAGACGTTAATGAGAACCCGCAGATCAGTAACGGAGAGTAGTCTTAAAATATTTAAAACACACTACTCATATGATGGCAGCTATGGTATAGAATAGAAAGTAAAAATAGTACAAAATAGTTTCTATTATTTTTAATAATTCTTTGTTTCTTCGCGTACGTTCACTGTACGTATTATATTTACACACAATGAATTTTGTTTTAATTTACTAATATTTAGGGTTCTGATAAAAAATATTAATATATTACTATATTATTCCTGTATTATTAGATTTTTTTAATAATTTCTAACATACATATGTTGTAGTAATATATTCATATATTGTAGTAATCTTAATTACACTTTTGCGTTATTCAAGTATTTTATTTTCATACATATGTGTTAATATTATTTAAGAAATAGAAGTTGCCATATCTTGCACTTTAGTTTTAAAATTACAGTTTTGTTATAAAAATACATATGTACCTTATGACTAACTAATATGCATCTTATGCACATTTCATATACGTGCAATAAATAAAATTTTGTTATTACTTCTAAGATTAACTTTTGTGTTATTTATTCTCTTGCAATAATCTTTTATATAACTTTGTTGAAATAAGCATTTAGTTTGCACATAATACGTACGTGCATGGCGTGTACATATAATATGTATAGAAGATGTGCATAATACATGCATAGAATGTATATAATACTTGTATGACGTGTGTACATAATATGTGCGTAGCACGTATGTGACATGTCCAGAATGTCATCAATTTAAATTATCCACTTGAATATATTTCTTAGGGATTATTTTAGGGGAAAATATTTCAGACAAAAGTTATAGAGTTTAGAGGGAAGTGCTTAATAGTGATCTAAATTTTTAATTACGGTCATTTATTAAAGTCATTTACAGGTCAATTTTGTTTTTTAAAAGAAACTGTCAATTGTATTTTATATAAACCGATTCTTCGTTATATTCTGTGTAAAAAATTACAAGCGTATACATAGTTTATAAGATATTTTGTTTTATAGTTTGACATTTGGTCGATTTTGTAATAATTTCTTACATAAAATGTAACAAAGAATCGATTTATATAAAAAATTGTAGTAGTTTCCTACAAAGAAATTGATCTCTATATATATGATCTTGGTAAATGAACGTAATTCAAAATTTAGGTCACCATTAAGTATTTCCTTCTAAACTCTACAACTTTTGCTTGAAATATTTTCCCCTAAAATGTTGTCTCTAAGAAATATTCAAGTAAATCATTTAAAATGGAACATCTTGGATATGCTACGTACGTGCTATATGCACATATAATACGTGGCATGTACATAATATGTATATGCCACGCACGTATTATATACATCCTATGCATGTGTTACGCACATTCTATGTATATATTATGTATACATCCTATATACATAATATGCACGTATTATGATCATCCTATGCATGTGTCATGTACATCTTCTGTACATATTATGTATATATGCTATGCACGTATTATGTACAGCCTATGTACATTCTGTACATGTGTCATGTCCATCTTATATACATATTATGTACATGATATGTACATATTATGTATATCCTGTGTACATCCTATGCATGTGCCATCCTATGCATGTACATCTTATATACATATTATGTATATGCTATGTACGTATTATGTATATCCTATCTACATCCTATGCACGTATTATGTATATCCTATGTACGTGCATAAAAATTAAATGTACATGCATGAAGTATATACATAGAATGTGTTTTTTCATGTACATATGTATATTTTTACGATATTCCATGTACATGCGCTGGGGGAACATTTGCATATACATTTCATATACATTGGATGTACGCTGTAATACATGTGTATATATTATGTATATACAATATAAATAAATGTATATGAAATGTATATACATTGTATATCAAATTGTTTTGTATGTTCACCACATTATATACATTCTTTTAACTTGTCCAAAATTTGAGGGAAAAAAATGATAAACTAATTTTCACCTTTCCCTTTGAAGGAGTGTAAACTTCTCGCATGTAAGAGTATATAGATTTATAAAAAAAATCCTTAAAATTTGTACATTTATTTAGAATCACCCTGTATATTCACCGATGAGAATAAAACATACACGAAGCCAATATGAATGATCGTATAGTACGAAGAATGTATAAACAGTCGTATAATGATCTTTTAAAGTCTAAAGGGATATGGCGTTCGCACATTAAACTCTTTTCATACATGTAAAACGAGTTGCTAAATCCCGTCCTAAAACTCTCAGTTCAGAACGGTTATTTCGAATTACCATGGGATTCGACTGGGGGCGCGATGAACACGTGCCCAGAATTTCGATATAGTAGTTCTCCCTCTTGAACGAGAGGAGAGTCTCCGTGCTCGCGTTAACACGAAATGCAATTAACGCAACTGGGAATATATTAAAAACGTCAATAACGCTACGGTAATTGCGGAGATGAGAAAACACTCTTCCATTCATTTTAAAACGTCCGTACCATGTTTCTTTTACTTAACTTATATATATATATATATATATATATATATATATGTATATTTAAAATTTTAGTAAAACATAACACCAACTATAGATAAAAAACAACCTGGAAATAAATATAGGTTTTCCGTTTGCTGCTCCCAGTCTTATATCCTAGTCCGGGGAGATTTTACTTTCGGGAGAGCAACGCGTAGCGGCAAAAATGTGAACTCGCGTGTGGGCTGCGCTTCTGAAGATTAAAATTTATAAAAAATGGAATAGCGCAGTTAAAAATATGAAAAAAATGAATAAAATAATCCTCCGTTAAATAATAAAAAATATTTAAAAGAACATGTTAACCTCCTAAGTACGTAATGGTATCTGAATCGGGATTTTAAAATTTCTAAAATTAATAAGCAAAATGAAATAATGAAAGTATAATAGTACAACACTTTTATTTAGTCTTAGTTTTTTAGTCTTATTTTTATACAAAATACAGTAAATAATAAACTGTTAAGATCGCCAGTAATAACTAATCCAAATTTCAATAATAAAAGTCGACCAAACTGGCAATAATTTATTAAAGATACTTAATTAAAATACAACGTTTCGGCTATCATTGCAGCCCTTTTCAAGTAAACCTATAAACAATTACACGAATATAATTATAACTTTAATCTAACTATTAATCACATGAATAATTATAAACGCCAAACATTAGTCAACAAAAATACATTACTTAATAAGCGGAAGTATATAATGCGTTACGACTAAATTAAGTTTACTGCATACTGACATAATATTCAACATTATTTTAATAAACAATGTAAACTTAACATAATACACAGGAACCAATAAAGATGTTAACCGCTCGCAAGAAACTTAGTCACTAATCGTTAAGCAACTTAAATATAATATGTGTCATTTACAACCTAATAACAGTAACAAAGTCAAATAGATAAATAAAAATGCTTAAATAGCGTCAAGAACACGATCATAAATCCCACTAAAACTTTCCGTATCTTTCTGTAAATTAATACCATTACTCTGTATTTTTATGTAAAACATTTCTGCGATTTCTCTTTTTCTTTTCTGTTTTTCTTGATGTAAAATAATAGGAGAATCCCAACGGAAATCATGATCATTGCAAGTCCGGTGCAAATCGACGACCGAATGCGATGCAATGTCTTTTTTAATATTATTTCGATGTTCTTTGATGCGTGTTTCTAAATGTCGCTTAGTCTGTCCAATATAGGTAGTAGAATCACAATTTGCACACTCTATTTTATATACGATTTCGGTTTTTTTTAAGACGTCTATTTTATCTTTACCTCTTTTTATAAGTGTGTCTAATTCTTTCGGAACCGTATACAATACCTCACATCCATTTTTATTAATGCAACGCGTAATGTTCTCGCTTAAACCCTTTATGTAAGGGTAAACAACACATGATCGCGCATCAAATTTGTTACGATTTTGTGAGCTAAGATTACCGCTGAATTTAATAGTTCTGTGTCTTTTATTTTTCTAATATTTTTGTTTATAACAGTTAACGGGTAACAATTATTAAGAAGAATTTCTTTAATAATATTAATATTTTCTTCATGAAACGTAAGGTCAGTAAGTAAGATAGCCAGCCCTATCAACCAAGCTTGTGATCACACTAAGTTTATATCTCATTGGATGGCTGGACAGAAAATTTATATATCTACCTGAAAACGTAGGTTTACAGAACCAGTTTGTCTTCAACCTGCCATCAATCCGAACAACATCTATGTCCAAAAAACTTAAAGAATTTTTATTTTAATTCTGTTCACGAACGCGATGCGAGAGAAAGGATCGCGCGGCACCAAAGGATGAGTCACTTTTATATTTGAAAAAAAGACTTTAATATTATCCACAATTAAAAAAACAACACTTTAACAAACTTTTCACAATAGTAATTATTTACAGAAAAATCGGAATCAAATCAGAGTGCGGAGTAAGCGGCGGTCGTCAACGTGGTTTTGCGGTTTATCTAATAAGCGGTTTGTGATATGTGTTTCACGGCGGAAAGGCGATAAGATGAAAAGTTTCGTCGACGCCCCTTTTATCAACGCGGTGCTAGGGCCCGTCACGTCATCACGCACCAATTGATTTCGATCATTTCAAAAGTGGTGATGTGACGCAAGGGCGCCGAACGTTATTGGCTGCCCGGTTCTCGCGCGGAGTAGGCACGGGCCTGACATGCGCGAGCGGATCGATTATTTTATTGATTGGCCTTCCAGAGCCACGTGATCGCTTTGCGCATGTGTTTTGCGACATCGGCAGTTATATCTCCGTGCGGTACCCGTTGCGGGATTGTTATTTATTATGACATTTTAATTGCCCTAATGATTTATGTACGTAGATATTTTTGATCTGGGTGAATTTTTTCTATTGTTTATTTTACCGCGACGCATGATAATAACAACTGAAATAGATTAGAATGGATAGGCTTACTTACTTGAAATTGCATGAAATAACTCGGATTTATTTGCAATCTCAAACATCCCGCCCGCCTTGTTACGTTG